ATTTGCATAAAGAGTGAAACTCAACTTATGCAATGAGAGATAATGCGTATAAAGAGCGAACTCAACTTATACGATTGGAAATTATTTGCATAAAGAGTGAAACTCAACTTATGCGATAAGAAGTGGTGAGTGTAAGGAGCAAGAAACTCAAATTACACAAGTGCAGGTATTTTGCATAAAGAAACTCTTCTTATGGGACAAGATAAAATGCGCAGTATAGAGAGAAAGGTCTCAACTTATATCATAGCAAAATATGTGTATAAAGAGTAAAACTCAACTTGTGGGATCTTGCCCACAAATGGATTGGCACAAAGAAGAGAGTCCTAACTCATATAAAGTAGGAAAAATAGGTTTCTTTTCCAGAGAAACGAGGAGACACGTTATCCAAGTGTTAGAAAAGGGACTTGGAAAGTTGAGTGTACTTCCTCTCTCAAGCAGAATATGGAATGTAATAAAGCTTAGATATTTTACCTAATTAACGAAGGCACAAATAATTAATAGATCACTAATAGAATTAATAGACTATAAAGAAATGGCACAGTGACACAGTGTTCACTCAAACTTCACTAGAAGGAGACGGAATGAGGAAAATATGATGAAATCAACGTGTCGTTTTATCTTATATGACAAAACGATAATAAAAAAAGTACGAACACCGTTTGAAATGCACCAACAAGAGTAGATTTTTCTTTATTTAAATCAAAATTGGTTAAAATGATTTTTCTTTGTGTGAAAATGAAAATGGATTTAATCTTAAAATCAGTGATCAGGTTATGTTTTGTTCCTGTTGTTGGTTTCTATTTGCTGTCTTGTTCGTTCCGCGGTTCAACAATGGGTTCAACAGAGGAAACGTAAAAAAAGGAGCCAATCAGAAATTAATTTCGAAAGACGCTACTCTAGTTAGGACGACTCGAGTGTTCATTGGTTGACGAGAAACTACGTCATTAACAAGGTGGCAACCACAATCGATTCTTCACTGAAAGATGTGTAATAATTTATTAAAAGTTTACAGAACTGCTGTTGATCTACGTAATGATGAATTAATGAATAATAATGTAATCATCGTAAAATTTATGTAAAAAAAGACGCCAGATAAAGATCAGGGGGAAGGGAGCCCCTTGAACCTATGTGTCCCGGATCCGGATAGTGTGTTCCGTTGGTTGGAAAAGTGGAAAACATCATGTTGGTACTAAGACATCTTTTTCGGCGGACTTTTGGCAGCTTGGTTTTGCTTGTTGCGCCGGAGTGTACTTAGTACTGTACTGCAAGGTACACTCTACTACAGGTATGGACAAATGGAATTTTAGAAAGTCGTCAAAACGCGTAGATTTGACAGCATCGAGAGTACGACTGCGAATGGCATGTGCGGCAAATGGACGGTACGACTTCATACGTCACTCGATCGCCGATTTTCTCAGCGCTGCCACTTCGGCACCCCGTTTGTCCATACCTGTAGTAGAGTGTACCTTGACTGTACTGCTTGTGAAGTGAAGTGAAGACAAGAAAGTTGTGTGCTTAGCTATTAGCTAAAGTATTTTATTTTTAAATTCGTGATGGAAGACAAAGGAGAGAGAAAGAAATGGAGAGAGAAAGGACAATTTGACTGCCTCATCCCAAAAGTAAGTATGATCGTAAAATCTTACTTCAGAACCAATCGAATCTTCTATTATGGCAAAACTTTTTCTCCGAAATCAGGGCCGAATTAGCGTTTCTTTTTGGCCACGAACCACAGCCAGGAGTTGATTCACATCTTCTATTCTACATGGATCCCTCCCGAGGTGTCTTGAAAAGAATAGCCGTCATTTCTATTGTTCGCTTGGCGGAACATTTTCATTGATGAAAGAGAGAAGAAATAACAAATGGATTGTTCAAAGAGGTGCTAACAATACTGCCGTGCCCTTGTAATCAGCTTGCTTAGAGAATTATGGCCCATCAGAATATTTTTGATGGAGGAGACTGTATCAGTGTCTACATGGTTGGTCAATTACAAACAAACATAACCTTTCCTCTGAACCTCTTATTCAAACCGTGACTGAAATGCATGGTACACTCTACTACAGGTATGGACAGACGGGGTGTCGAAGTGGCAGCGCTGAGAAGATAGGCCATCAAGTGACGTATGCTAGTCGCACTGGCTTTGCCACGCAGTTCATCGCAGTCATACCATTCGATGTTATCAAATATACGTGTTTCAACAACTTTCTGAAATTCCATTTTTTGTTAATACCTGTAGTTGAGTGTACCTTGACTGAAATGGGTCTTAGTGTTCCTTGCAATTGAAATGTTTCGTTTTCAATAAGTCCTTAAGTGAATTATGGCCATAGAGTACATAGAGTTGTAATGTAAGTGGGTGAGCTGGCGCCACATTTAAGCATTTTCCAGCTCCTGAATTCCGAGACTCCTGTGTGACGCCGGGTCACTAATTCGATACATAATCGATAGTTTGCGATACACGAGTACCCAGCCATCCGATGTAAACAAAGAAGATAGGGATCACCACGTATTCGGCACCGCCATTTTGGATCGAACTTGTATCGAAAAAGTGACCCGAACTCGGCGCACACCGGGCTTGGAACTCGTCAAGCAGAACATGGCGCCAGCTCTCCCATTTACATTACGACTCTATGTACTCTATGATTATGGCATTTCAATGACTAAATTGTAATGTATAAATGAAGTAATATCCACAATTAACTCACACATAGTTTAGTTTTTTTCTTGCAATTGCGTTTAAAACACTACCTACTTGATGTATTAGTCTATGTATGATCATAAATGTTTTTATTTTTTCTTCAGAGATCTAAGGGAGACTTACACTCTCAAAGAATAACCAAAATTAAGCGAAAGCTTGAAGATTCTAAAATCAGGAATGTACCTGCTGTACTGATTTCCTGTATGCTTGGTAAGTATTGAAGCTCTAAATTTACCTTCGTTTGATGCAAGAAAGTAATTTTTTCCTATCATTCCGTGTTGAATGTAGGTAGGTACTTGAAAAATCGCGATAGTGAAGAAAGTATAAAATACATGCATTCGAAGTATACTGAACTGAACTAATTACTTCAATGGCTAAGTAGGTAACCAATTTCAACTATCCATTAAGGAACTCCTATCTTTGGAAGGAACTCCAAGGTGCTCTTTTACTCTAGGTGCTCTTTTACTCTAGGTGCTTCAGGAGCACCTATCCACCTAAGAAAACATTTAGTATTGCGTTGTCGCTCAATATGAGCCAGAATTAGTAATTTTTCATTGCAAAATGTACACCCAGGGTGTTTACTGAGCCAGAATTTCCGGAAAGCCCGGAATTTTTTCCTTCATACCCCGCAAATTTTTTAATGAAGCCTGGAAAGTATGCACTCCTTTGTGGGTGTCCTTGCTTGCAAGATGGCGATTGTGTTGCCAATTAATCTTCAAAGCATGAATGAAATTTTGTCGCCGTCATTTTTGTCGCCACTCGAGCTTAAATTTCACATTTTCAAAATTTTTCAAATTCTGTCAACTAGAAGTACTGAAAAAGTACTAAATTTTTCTGTTGAGGAGTTCCTGAATTTCTCGGGAATGTACTGAATACTGAAAAACCTGTTGTGAAAGTACTGATTTTCGGCTAGCCAGTTTTAGTAGACACCCACCCTGATGTAGTAGAATCGATTTGAGAGTCGAACTTTGCAATAAGAGATGATTTGGGATTAATAGTAGAGACTAACTACAATATATTTAAATCCATGCTATTCTTCAGGACTCATTTTAATGCTGAATTTTTAAATTTGTTTCAGTCAATGACTTGGATGACAAAACTATTATACAACAAGTTACAGAGATAGCAAACCCACCGCCACCGCCACCCTCAACGCAGCCACCAATTATCCCCCCACCTCCGCCACCCACATCCCAGCCACTACAAGGCTGGTACCCCTATGGGTACTACCCAAGGTATTATTATCCATCACCATGCCCACAAGCCTCAGGACCTCCCTCAGCAGTACCAGCGCCAGAGGCCCCAGGGCCCGTAACAGAGGTGGCAAAGGTATTGATAATTCTTGACAAATAATAGATTTCTTCTTCCAAACTGTGCTGTTCTAATAATGTTTGTACGCATGGCCTGTGTTGAGATGCGAAAATTTTTGTGCAGATTAAGGTGGTCGAAGTCTGTGTTATGTGACATTGATGATTTAGAATTTTTCAAGAAACATCCAAATCGATAGGTAATTCCCTGGCAACTAATTGTGGTAGATTAATACGCATGGCCTGTGTTGAGATAAGAAAAATTTTGTGCTGATTAAGGTGGTCAAAGTCTCTGTTAGGCGACATTAATTTAGAATTTTTCAGGAAACATTCAAATCGATAGGCAACTAATTGTGGTAGAATAATAATATTTTAATTGCTTTTTACTAATTTTTTAATGTGTTTGTGTTTTCATTATTTTCAGAACGAAAACCTTTTTAAAGAGTTCCTCGACTTTAAACGAAGATATCAAGACAAAGAAGTAACGGTAAGAGTTTTGACTGAAAATGAACCACCCTATTCATGGGAAAGCAACTCTAGGGTTGAATAACTAAATAAAAGGAACTAAATTGAATTGTGGGTTATGAAAGAAAAATCGCAACAGTTTTGTTGCAAATATTTTTAAAAATGAAAAACTGGGCAATGGGTCTGTTGCACGCGAGAGATACAACCAACTGAATGCAGTCGGTAAGGGTAAATTTTCTCGAAGATCATATTGGACACATGAAGAAAGTCTGAAATCGGCTCCTTAGTTTGCTTAGTTTGTAATACGCTTTTCCAAGTTTCCCGCGGCTGCAGGCAGTTTTTCTCAGTCACCACCTACCAAGTTTGCCTGTGCGGAGGAGTAAGAAAGAACTACCCTAAGTAAACAAACGATTCACTAACTTTTTCTATCGTATGATCTCACTTGTTTTCAAGGGTTTATTTCCTTTTACTTCTTTATTTTGCAAAGTAAAGCTTTGAACGAATTGAAATCATTCGGATTTCTTAGAAGGAGAGTTCATAGCAGTTTCCAAGATTGTTTGTTAACTCGAGCTTAGGTCTCTCTTCAGGCCATCCTGGCTGCCAGCCACCAAGAAAAACTACCCTTATACTCGGAAAATTTGAAAAAGCGTTTACAAACTATGCAGATTGGGGGAAGGAGTGGATTTCGGAATTTTTTGTTGTGCCCAACATGATTTTCGAGCAAATTTTCCCTTCATAATAAATGTTATCAGTTGGTTGTATATCTAATGCTTGCAACAGACCCATTCTTATTTTGAAGCTGTCTAGTTTAAAAGCAAAGGTTTCATGTTACTATTGTTTTGGTGTTGTTAGTCAATTGTTTTCTAGTCATTATGATTTTTGCATGTTTCATGCAGCCTTGAAAAGTGGTTGATTTTGAAATTATTTTTCAAGGCCTTGAAAGTGCTTGATTTTTAGGAAGGATGCTTGAATAGCGCTCGAAATTTACTCCTCCTTCATTTCCAGTGGTTCAATTCACACCTACAAGCCTTCACCGCTGCCCTGCACCTTGAAACTTTCACCTACTTTCGGAAACCAGAACTAGATTATTTCCCCACCTACTACACGTCGTTGAACACCAAAATAGGTACAAGTTACCTTGTAAACATAGGATAATGATTTAAAAGAAGCTGAGGGAAGTAAGACAGACGAAATTCCACTATCAAAAATTACGATAGGTGCAGGGCCAGAACCGTACGCCTAGGGAAAAATTAAGAAAAAGGGCTTGAAAATTCCTTAAAAAATGCTTGAAAAGTGATTGATTTTTTTCAACTTGAGGCTGCACGAACCATGTTTTAGGAATTTAAGAAAGCTCTTTCATGCCATGAAGAAACTAAGGAAAGTTGAAAATTTGAAATTAGCTTCCAGTTATTAGTTATTCAATTGTTTTTAATACTTGACTGGAGTTCAAGAACAGGCAGGAGTCTGTTATTGAATCAAAAAGGGCGACTCACTTCTTAATACTTATGCTTAGATGGATAATTTGTTCAATATGACTGACTATGGTTACAGGCCTTGGTACCATTTTTTCAACCTCAGCAGCGAGCAGGTGTATTCGACAGAAGTAATGTTACATTTATTTTATTTTCATGCTTTCAGGAAACTGCACAAGAGGAAGGCAAGAAGGAGGAGGTTCAGGTTCCCAAGAAGGAGGAGGTTCAGGTTCCCAAAAAGGAGGCGTTCCCCCCCTTAAAGAAAAAACGAGTAAGTCGATTGTTATTTCATCTTGACTACTTTTCTTCCCATAAATATGAGGAAAGAATTAGTTAAGGGTCTCTCTACAAGTGGCTTTTTGTATAAGAAGTGTCTCTAAAAAAGAAACGCCCCCTCTTGCAGTTCAGCATCACGGTTTTGAAGGCAAAGAAAGTAATTATAAGTCATTTGTGAGGGAAAGGTTGTATTGGAGAAATACTGCCGTGAGAAAAGTAGAGTTGGTGGCAATTTGTACTATTTTTGAACAGCAACATAAGATTTGGATTCCGTACGAAAGATGAAAACAGTAAAATTTCTTTTTTTGGTCTTCCAAATTGTGCTATCCACAATATTTCAGGTATGATTTTCAGTTACCTTGGTGGTAACGAATGCTACAAATTAATACAACGAAAGACTTTGATTTATTCCATTTTTTTTTTTAGATGAAATTAAATCAACAGTTTTTCTTGAAATAATCGATGGCTTTTCTGCACTTAGGAAATCACTGTGATTTTTCTTCTTCAATTGTATATATAGTAGTTACTTACAGAAAATTGGAAGACTATGATTTGCTTATTTTAAAGTTTCAATAGAGATAGGCGTTTTTCAAAATTTAATTTTCCATATTTATTCCCTTGAAACATCAGCTAGAAATTAGTATGAAGGCTTAATTTAGTCAGACCATATATTTAAGATGAAAGATGTAGAAAGCGTTAACTTTTATTTTTATTTATAATTTTACCTTGAAGAAGGGAAAAAGAAACATTCTCTCAAATCCAGGAGCAATGAGAATTTGGAGAATTACTTATCCTTCAAGCCAATGCTCAGACGTTTGAGGGAGGTGCGGGAGTAAGGAGGCAAGCTAAGCCACCAACTCTCATCCCTGAGATCGCTTCTGTACCTAAGTCTGATGATCCAAATGGTGGAAAATGTTCTTTCTGCTATACGCCTGCAAAGGTGTTTTCAGAGAAAGGCAATTTTCAGATGGCAAGATTATGTTTCGTTCAGGTACCTCATCGTTTCTCAATTATGTTTCGTTCAGGTACCTCATCGTTTCTCAATAAAGAAGTAAGTATTTCATGTGAATTAAAAAATGGTTAGACCTCTGAGGTTTCTTGCAGAATAAGCGTACTTGCGGATTTTTACCATAGCTAGGAACCTAGAGATTGGCAATAGTTGTTACCAGAGTTCATACTATTTGCCTAATGTATTCAATGTTACCTTCTGTTTCAGTGGCATGATTATTAATGTTATTATTTCCCTTAGTTCAACACAATGCAACAGCTTAAACTAGGAAAATTTATATGCCCTGTTACAGGGGCGAACATTGCTCCTAAGTATTAGGGCCTTTATTTCTTTAGAAAATTTGCATCGCTGTCAAGTAGGTGTCTAAAATGGGGTAAACTAATTGAGAATGAAGTTCAATTACTTTGTTCCCTTTTAATGCAAAGGAGAATGCAGCATTCTTTTGTAAGTCGGTTTTTAAGTTGATTTTTCGTGCAGCCCCAAGTTCATTTTAATTTTCAAGTTCATTAACTTTCTCGTCGACTATTAGTTAGTGTGCTCTTCAATTCCTGCTGTCCCAGACAATTTCTCACACTGTAAATTGAATCATGGATGGCTCCAAATTAGACCTCTCAATACTTGATAACAGGATCGGAGGACTGAGCGATCACCTTATTCAGCCAGCATGTGAACCAGGCATAACTCAAAAATGAAGCGAAAAGATGATTTGGATCATTAAGTAAGGTGGAGTAAGCCAGGGAAATACGTAGTAGGTGTTTTTGTTGAAACCGACTCGAATTTTCATACTCGGCAACCTGTGAGAGTCTCTGCTTGGCTGTGACTATCTTTCAAGCCGCTCTATTGCTACTGCGAGTTAATTTTATATTTAGAGGTGACGTTATCACCCATAATTACTTATATCTTCAAGCTAAGAAAATAGAACGTGTACATACCTTTCACAAAATTGTATCCTAAATAATGTCAGGAGCAATGAACGATGCTTGTAGCAACTGTAGACGCAAAATCAGAGTCTCTGAAAGAGTTAAATGGGAGCTTAAACCCACAGTCAAAGATCTCTGATTTTGTGACAATAAGTTGATTAAATGACTACACTAAACAGAGAGGTGGTAGGTAGAATTGAACGTTACTCCTCCAGATAAACAACTGCTGCCGATGTCCAAGTAATTGAGGTTCCCAAAACGGTAAGAGGAGGGGTTTCCCAAGACTAATCATGCAAAGAACATGGCGTTCATGCCAATAACATGCACTTAAAAAAAACGCAATCACTTCAGAAGGCATGAGCTGTTACTTTTGTTACCTTGTTACTATTGTTGGGCAAAATGATGTTTCTAACAACTCCTGACGCAAAATCAAAGAGACTCAGAAGAAACCAATTTGAGCAAATGCTCACAGTCTAAGATCTTTGATTGTGTGACATTAAGTTGATCTATGATTGCACTGTTCCATAAAGGGATGAAATTGTGCCTCACATACTAAGGTACGCAAGCCCTGCGTAACAAGAACGGTAGAAGAGATAGGAGGATTCCAAGATAAATAAGGAAACATGTTCTTAATGTCAATAAAATACACATCAGAGAAGCATAATCACTCCAGAGCACATAGGTTGATGGCAAGATATAGAGCGAATAAATTTCGGTCGAAGTTCAGTGACAGTCGCATGTGAAGGCCGAGGCTCATATTCCAGTAATTTTTAGACTTCAGTCACGAGCATGCATTCTGTGATGTAAATGCTGCTTCCTCTTTAGAGTTTGGCACAATTTCGGTGTAATTTTGTCAACGTAATTTACCTGAATTACATCTATCGCTTAGGTCAGGTACTGACATAAACATGACGACATAACCTCACTTAAAAATTTGTCACATATTCGTTCAATAAAACAATAAAGATACCACTTGAACATTTCAAGAGAAACTAAGGTAATAGTATATCGGGCTCCAGTAGAACACGTGAGACGTAATAATATGAATATGTAAATATAGTAGTTAGCATCTACAAAGAATTAAACTCTTATCCAAATTAGGTATAAATCTATTCATACAACTAGTTGGAGGCTGGTAACGACCGACCAGGGGAATTTCATTTCGTTCCCGAAACTCGAGCTGAACTGGCAGAACTGAACGGAATCAACCAATAGCATTGAACCACTAGTGAACCACTACCGGTTTTTCTCTAAATTCAAAAGATACAGCTAAAATTGTGAAAGATATTAGCCGATGCTGAATTATCCGTGCGATGAAGCCCTATTAAATGTGGTAGAAATGAAATCCTCATATCCTCAACCTTGATCCTTTGTAGGTTTCACTGGAATCGGCCAACGTGTAAGCGAGAAATCTGCTGTGAAAGGTGGTCTTGACGGGGAGGTCGGCAGTCAGTTTAGTCGTTTTTACGTAATTTCTCTTCTAAAACATTTGGAATGTTAAAATAAAGTCAAAAGCGGCACACACGGTAACATGGCGATTCTTTAGGTACCCACTTTTATGGGTCTAAGGTTTACCGTTATCGCGGAGTTTGAGTGACTTTCTCAGGACCCTGGATTCTTGAAATTCAAATTTCCCGGCAAAGTAAAAAGTAAAATTTTCCTTGTTTTGGGTCATTAAGTGCTTATAACTTTTTGAAAACTCAATGGATCTTATTGAAACTCTTCCACTTTGTAGTCCTAATTGAGATGCGTCCGTAGACACCAAGATCGTAGGAATCCGTGCCGTCGTTTGGGCTGCAGTCGAATGGCAATCGAATCAATTTTCAAGTTAAGGGAGTTGCCTGTGACTAAGAGTGTCGGCCACCCGTTTGTTATCGGGACTTTAGTAGGACGTCATTTTCCTCGACCGGGGGTGGCTACCGCCACTCTTGATACCAACGCGGAAAATAATCAGCCTGCATCGCAAAGCAAAATCTCCCCTCCCCCCCCTCTCCTCACCATCCCACACTCTCTGCCCACTGCCCTCTGCCGCCGTCTGCGTGTAACTATGACCAGCAGTAGATGTAGACCTTGTCGTTAGTGTCGTTGAGTGGTCTGCTCTGTGCGTTCTTATTTCTCTCCTCGCATCGGTTTGCCCCTTGTGAAAAATGGCATACTCATACTCCAATAAATGCTGGATTCTTCTTATAATTTTGCTTTTCCAGCAATGCAATAATACACATGCAGGTGCTTTATGTTATCCCGCCTGTTGTGTTGTTTGCTGTGAGATGGGGCCGTTCAAATTTGCTGCGGCGTTTGGTGTAATACTTGACATCGCAGGTTGTGGAGCCATGTGCGGGGTTGCTTGCGCATTTGGGCTTTTCGTACCTCCAGCCTGCTTCGCAAATGACACGATGATAAGTGTCCGTGACGGGGATGTCATTGTCGAGAAACCGATAAGCTTGGTGAAGGAGAATGACCAAGTCTTGACTTTAAAAAATAATAAACCAAGCTGGACTCGAGTTATCAGGAACCTGCATTCAAAAGGCTCCTTCAAATTCGTTCAGGTTACCACTCAAAGTTCACCAGATGGGCCTGTAAAACCTGTGACAATAACCTCGGAACATGGTGTAGTCTTGCTCTCAAACTCAGGAAATGATAAACTGATAAATTCTGCCCACAATATTGTGCCCGGGGACATGGTGCTCTCAAGTACTGGCAATACATCACTGGTTGTTGGCACTGTTCATGTGACGTTGAAAGAAAAATATACTCTGGAGACGGCAGACGGAACCATCTTGGCATCGGATATTTTCATGACGACCATTTGCGCCGAGGAAATTTCAGGAAAAAAACTTCCCTTCGAATCTGCAATGCAAAATTGGCGCTCAAGGCATCCTTACGTAGTAACTCCTCATGGCTTTAATAAATCATGGCACAACGAAGTGACTTTCAAGTTGGGGCTCTCGTTCCAGGATATTTGTAAGAATAAATCTTTAACTAGCTTCACCCCGCCAGATTTCTCGCTACCACCCTACTCTTTTCCCCAAATGCGGTCAATTGATTCTGGCTTGTGAATGCCCAACGCATAAAAATTGAAGTTGCATTACTCATTAATTAATATGCTGCTGAGTAGGTAACTGTACATGTAAACTTTGAGCCTAGCGCGCGGATGGTGAATAAATGTATTCTCGCTGTATCTTTGAGCTGTAGGTATTCCCAAGGTGCGACCACGGAGGGTCCTCTAGGTCAGAATAAAGTTTGTTTTGAACTGCCCAAGGAGGCATTATGTAAGCTTGCTATTTAAATTGAATTATTAACTACATTATTTAAACTTAAAAGTTTAGCAGATAAAATTACTCGCTTCTTTTTCTGTTGGTATCTTTATAAATGGAGGAAGGGGAGGATTTTCCTACGGATCTTAGAATTTAGTCACTCGCAGAGAGTAAATCTTTGTATTTTTACTTCACTTCCCAGACTACACCATCAAACATTTCTGTGCTCACAAAACTCTACGTAATCCGGTATTTACGACAAAAATTTGTTTACCCACTCATTGATGTACATTACTTTCGCTCCAAATTTGTATGAATAAAATGTATATGTCCAGATTTTTGAGCAATGTTTTCAACTTCACTATACCTACTGTCCCTCTGTTTTTCATTTGAGAGGTAGATAGATTAGTTAGTGGACGTACTTTAAAGGGAGAATCAAAGCAATAATGTGTCATTCGAGGAATTTTAAGTAGGTACATCTGTTTTTATTGAACTATAATTTCATTTTGAGTGAAAAAGGACCCTGATATGAGCATTTTCTTATGCTCATCTTTAAAGTATTTTTTTGCTTTGCAAAGGTCACTGACTTCATGGACATTCAATGACTTCATTCGTCAATATGCACAGCCAAGAATTCACATGATTAGTTTTCTTTGAGATTTGAGAATCTACGATTAAAATTCGGTAACTATTTCCTCATTTACATTGTGGAGACAGAAGAATTTCTCGCAAATATTTCGCAGAGGATTTCTGATTCTGTTGAGAGTGTCAACTCCTCTGAATGTTGTAAAAAATCAATTTGATTTGATGGACACTCTTTTAAAAATAGACTAGCCAATTCCTTCTGAGGTCATTCTGTGCGGAGTCAGGCAGAGGTTACTCGAAGGTAACCGAAATATTTTGGATACTCTGAATGCATGTCATTTAGACTGAAATAGAGCAAATATGGATGCATTTATTCTAAAAGGAACTATAAGCATAGGGTTTGCATGCAACATAATTCCTTCTAGGAGAAACACGTCTGTAAATTTTTTTTTTTTAGTTTTTCAAGCCACATTCCTAGTTTCAGCTTCTGTTAAAACATCTGCTTCAGCATCTCTTCATAACTCTGTTAAAAGGGGACAAATATGCTGGCAGCTGTAAGTACTAGCAGTATTTATTGTGAGTGCTTGTATTCAATCTACCCCCCCCCCCCCCCCCCCTGTCTTTTAAATTTTGATGGACATATTTTTCACTATTAGGGGAAGAAATATACATCAAGAGGTAACTTAATTTGTAATGAATATCCTTATTCATCAATATTCATTATAAAACAATTATCCTCGCTTTTCATAGGAGGTTCATGGTGCTGAGCATGTGCAGAAAAACTCAAAAATAACTCGTATAACCACCAAAAACCCAAAAAGGGTAAAAGTTCCGTCAAGCTTATAAGATCTTGTCATTAAATTGGTATGTATCTAAAAAAATTAAAAAAGGAAGATGGGGGGGGGGGGAATAGTAGTCTTTCGAAAATTACAAAAGGAGAAAAGAGAAGTAGCTCTCGCTCTGTTCTCCGTTTCAAACTTCAAAATGTCTGATATCATTTGAACCGAGTTCATCAGGAAGAAACCAACCCACATTTTCGAAAAATTGAGTTAAGCATGTTTTTGAGTTCCATTAGCCGTATCTTTTCTTCTGCCAAAAACTGGAAGTCAAAAACCGGTAATTATTTTGTGAAAAGAGGCGTCAAAGTTCATTTTCTACATTGAGCCTTATGTAGGAATGAAACTTCAAACCTCTGTTTCTCAGTTTTAACTTAATGCAGGTTGGTTCCTTTCTGATGAACTCGGTCCATTTGAGGTCAAGATTTTTAAAGGCACGTACGCACGCCCGCCCCTGAACCACACCGAGCGAAGTGGCAGTTAATTCTGGCGGGAGTCCCCTCCACACTGAAAAAAAAATCTCGGTGTATTTACCGAGAAAAGGGTAAAATTACCGAGAATTCAGGGTTCTTTTGATCCTAGTTTTTTCTTGGTAAAATTAACATTTGTGGAATTGGTAATTTTACCGAGAAATCTCGGTAAAATTATTGACTTTCTCGGTAATTTTACTGATCCCCGGTAAAAACGCCAATAATTTTTATCGACTGTGGTAGAATTACCGAGATAAAATGGCAAAGTTACCGGGCATTGATTACCAATAAAAGTGGTATTCTTACCTGAAAAAAAAACCCGTAAAAATACCGGTTTTTAGGCAAGCTTATCAGTCTGTCTTGGTAAAATTACCAATAATTGGTAAAAAAAGTGAGATGGTAGAGGTACCAACGGACCTTGGTAAAAACGCCGAGAATTTTTTTTCAGTGCAGTCAGTCTCTGACGCAGCCAGCTTACCTTTGAAGCAAGTTTAGTTGCCTAAGTCACTGATGTAAGGAAACATCATTGCATTTGGTTCTTACGAGAAGATTCTGCGCGATGAATCGAGCAGTTCTCCTATCAGAACACTGGCCTTTCAGTCTCAAACTTCAAAATATTGGATATAATTTGAAGTTAAGATTTTTTACCATCTAATCTTATTTTCACTTACCTCTCGCATTTTAGTGAAAAAAAATCCACTCTAATACCTCGGTGCACTTCACTCAATTTTTCTCTGATCATTTGCCTTCATTTCACGTATCCGCAACCCTTCTTACACACGAAAGCTATGTAAGGCACCTCCCAATCGTTTGGATCAAGCATAGAGTAAATATTTTGAATTCAGATTTTGGCATACCCTTTGAAAATCAAAAAATAAAAAGTCAGGTAAATGAAGGCAGAATTTTTAAAAAGAGCAAAAAATAGCTTAAATATCAACAATTCTGGCGAGAAGGTCCCGACCCGATACTCTTGGGGATGTGTTATGACTCATATAAGTGAGGGTAAAGTCAAAATAATAAGAGTAATAAAGTGAGTTTGAAAATTGCTGGAAAACTGAAATGAACCTATTTAGCAGTTCGTGTCGATTTTTCTTTCTTCCCTTTCAAAGCATACTATATTTTAATGTTTCATACAAACTCTCAAAATTTAGAGAAAAACGGTAACGGTAAACCACTGTGAGCGCCATGCGGAAGAATCGTAAATTCGACTGCAACCCCCTTTGTTTTGAGCAGGAAAACATATGTACGTCTGAATAAGTCCTCGGAATCTGCTGCGAATCTGATTTTTCAGCCGTGAAAAGTTCGCTAGGATTTAAAAGCAGTTTTTCCGAGCATTCACAAAAATAAGCAGGTTACCTGCACCAAGGATATACAAGTGTTTTCCTACCTTTAATGCCTGAAGTTATACGTGCTTGAAAGAAGTTGAGCTTCAGCTGACTCTCAAATGATACGTATCGGGACCGTCTCGCCAGAATTGTTGATTTTTAAGCTATTTTTTGCTCTTTTTAAAAATTCT